GACGTGCGAAGGGCCAGTGGTTTCTTCCTTTACTGAGAACGTGAAGGTCCCCTGCGTTCTGGGGAAGCCATCCCAGATCTCCCGAGAGGGCCCAGTTGCAATCCCAAGGAAACCTGGTGAGCAGGAAATCCTAAGAAGAGATGCCATCAATCGTTCCATGAGTGTTCAAAATTAATAAAACACGAAGAGCGACAGCCCCTGGTCAAATGGGCATGCTTCATCCTCACAACTTCACCATGAGAAAAATATTTGTCATCTTCCTTCTACTGGTGAGAATACAAGGCAACGTAGGTTATAGCTCATTAACTCTGAGACGTACATTTTTTTCAGATGTGACTCTTCTGCAAACCAAGCGCATCTTGCAAGTGATTGTCAAACTCTGTAAAATACGGTTACTTTTTGTATATTCCTCCGTCCAGTGTTTATTAAGTGTCCGGCCCGTGCCCGGTAGTGTGCAAGTTGATGAAGACAGAACAGTGTATAAAGCATCCAAGCCCTCACGCTCCCTAAGTTTACAGTCTAGCTGGGGAGACCACAAACCAGGAAACAAATCAACAAAAAAGCCAGCTTGTGAGAGTTGCCGTGTAGGAAATAAGCCTGGAAAGGTGACAGAGTACCATACGGGCGGTAGGGACAGGGAAGACTGGGACTTGGGGTGACTCTCCGAGGAGTGACACTGGAGCTGAGACCTCAGAGGAGCCCGTGGTCTTCCCGATGGGCTCTCGGGGGGGCCAGGAGGTAGGTCCCTACAGTTCTAGGGACTAGGGCCCCTGCTTGTGAGCAGCCTCAGCTGGGTCTCCTTGGAGGGCAGCCTGAGCAGCATGCCCCGTGCCCCATGGCCTCCGAGGTGCTCCCCACTCACTGCTCTACGTGGTATGCATACTTGATGAGTACACCCGAGGAGGTGCTCCAGCCCCTGGGTCCCTGCTTTAGTCCTGTGGGGCAGGGAGCAGTGCCCATCATGGACAAGGACACCGAGGAATACCCATGCCAGGTGCCCAGGACTGGTGCAGCCCAAAACGCAGCCGATCAGGGTTGGAGACAAGGAGGCTCCCGGCGCAGACCTGCGTTTCTGTCTTCCTGTAGGGTACTTGTCTCCACTCTAGCGTACGGATTCCTTTGGTGGTGACCCAGGCAGCCCCAGGGAGACTGCTCAGCGGCACGTGTGCATTTTACAAATTTGAGCGACGTAATTATTTTTAAATACGCGACCTCGGAGAAGCTCTGTTGGATTCAAAATCCACTTACCAAGAAAGAACAAGGTTACATTTGTCAATGAGCGAAAGGAAAGAATTTTAAATACCTAACCTCAACGGGTATACTTGCTTGAAGGATTGAAAACAATGATTTTGCCTTTTTTATCACCTAACTGGTGTGAACGAAGTTTCTCAAGGATGAGATCATCAAGAATTTGAAGAGATCTGCATTATAAAGTCGTGGTCAGGAATGGACTATGGCCATTTCAAGCATAAAACTGGGTATAAAACATTCCGTCCACAGATACGAGCTCGATGTTTCCCATTGAAACCTTTGAAAACATTTTATTCGGGAGTTTGACACTAGTTTAATATGTTCTTTAAAACAATATCTTCAGGGCGCCTGGGTGGCTCAGTCGTTAAGCGTCTGCCTTTGGCTCGGGTCATCGTCCCAGGGTCCTGGGATCGAGCCCCGCATCGGGCTCCCCGCTCCGCGGGGGGCCTGCTTCTCCCTCTCCCACGCCCCCTGCTTGTGTTCCCTCTCTCACTGTGTCTCTCTCTGTCAAATAAATAAAATCTTAAAAAAATAAAAAATAAATAAATAAAACAATATTTTCAGGGCGCCTGGGTGGCTCAGTCGTTGGGCATCTGCCTTCGGCTCAGGTCATGATCCCAGCGTCCTGGGTTCGAGCCCCGCGTCGGGCTCCCTGCTCGGCGGGAAGCCTGCTTCTCCCTCTCCCACTCCCCCTGCTTGTGTTCCTGCTCCCTCTCTCTCTCTGTCAAATAAATAAATAAAATCTTTAAAAAATAAATAAATAAAATGGAATATTTTCTTATAGTGATTATGGAATATATAAAAATGTATAATGAAATTTTTAATCAAAGGCTCCAAATTCCCACTACTTCCCTTTGGTGTAACCTCTGCTGCAGCAGAGGATGGGGGGACAGAGACGGGGCCGTGGAGAGAACCCACACAGGACAGGACTGTGAGGCCAGGAGAGAGGGGAGGAGTCAGTGGGTCGGCCCGAGGAGCTTTTCAGAGGGAGGACCCACAGGACCATGGTGGGGAGAAAGGGAGGCTCAAGGAGGATGCCCGGGCTTTCTGGTGTGAGCAGCGGAGTAAAGCACAAAGCCGTTCACTGGGTAAGACTGGATGGAAACAGTTTTGGGGAGAGGACTGGGATCCAACGCCCCGGGACGGATTTTCCAATGAAGTGCAAACCGAGACTCTCTAGATAAGAGATTTTAATAGGCCTATCAACCATGTATTTGGCTCCTACCATACATACTGAAATATCTATCCATGAAATGATGTAGAAAGTCTGGGATTAGCTTCAAAATAATTCAAGTGGGAGAGGCAGGGGAAGTGAGTAGATGAAGCCCAAGACTGGTCACCAACAGCTCCTTTTTGAAGCTAGGTAATGGGTCCATGGGGGTTCATTATACTTTCTGCTTTTGTCCTATCTTTGACAACTTCCACGGCACTGGCTGCTATCGATGCCCTGGTGAGGAGGGAGAGCAAATTAGGAAAGGCCCCTGAGTGGGGGGTGGCAGTGCTAGACCCGAGGAAGGACACAGACAAGCCCAACGCTGTCCTAGACTTCACGTTCTTTGGGGGAAGAGACAGACAATAAACATGTAAACAAATATGACCATTTAAATCAAGATGCTGGAGAAACAGGGTGATAGGAGTGTGCGGGGGCCGCACCGGACTAGCCAGAAACAGCCGCTCCGCCACAGCATCTGATGCCTCAGGAGCCAAGCAGATATTAATAGTGGTGCTTTTAAAATCCTTCCCATTCTACATTTTTTTACTTTTACTTATAAACAAGTCTAAATTAGTGGCTATGAGCATACTATTCTAGGGAAAGTGTTTTAACTTAAAAGCTTTTGCTCCCTCCCCCCCTTTTTTAACTCCAGATTTGGAGGCCATGATTGGCCCAAGAGTTTTAGAAGTAGAGCCAATTCTGGACTGACCCCGGTGCCCCTTTAGCATCCCATTTTTTGCCCTGGCAGCTCTCCTGCCCTATCATTTGGACCCTAAAGCCCTCTCTTCTCTGGCCTACAGCTTTCTGTCACTCTTAGGGCTCCAGAGGACCTCCTTCCTGCCCCTCCTCCGAGTGCCACTTTCCTGTGCAAGGCAAAGCAAGAGCCCCATGAGGACAGGACTGTTGCTTGTCTTGTTCACTGCTATAATCCCAGCACCCAGAATTGTGCCTAGCACACAGCTGTCACTCAATAAATATTCACTCAGTAAGAGGACATCCTGAATCCACTAGGTAAGTAACCAGACACCCATGCAGGTGCTTATGGATTCCATCCTACAACCGAAATGAACTTGAGGCCTATCTTCGCAGGGATAAATAATACTTCCATTTTATAGACGGACGGCTGAGACCAGAACTTTCACCGACAAGTCTCTCCCTTCCTTAGAAATGTTTTAAGCCAAAAATTGGAGCTATTGAAAAATCTAGCACACAGAGGGAACATTACCCACGTCACTTTGCATTTCGTGAAAATATAATGAATTTAATTGATGTAGAACAGCTTTCCTGGATAAATCCAACAACACGTATTTTGGTTTCCTGAAAACAAAACAACACAAAAAACCCAAGCGAAACAAAACTCTTCTTCTCCGCGGGCCGCCCAGCCTGGGCTTCTTTGCATACGTGCTTTTAGGAGAGGCTTGCAGACTGCCTGTGTTCTGCACGGCCACCACCGACACTTAACATTCATTAAATCATAATGACCCAGGAGGCCTGGAGTTTTCTGCTGCTCCTGGGTCTGTGCCTTCCTTAAGTGACCTTGGACGAATCTCTTCCCCCCTCGCGTCCGATGGCCGTACATCCGTTTCAGGCCACTGTTCGTGACCGAGATGCTCTACAAAAGCTTCAGGTTGCGCCCCGCAGGGAGTGCCCTCCGCCGTCCGCCGGCTGTCCGCAGGACACGCGTCCTGGAAGCCTGCGCACGGTGGTGGAGCGTCGGCAGGACCATCCCGGGCCGGCCCAGGTACCCGAAGGCCACCGGAGCCCCAAGGCTCAAGGCAGCCGGCCCCAAACCGCATTTCCCGCCTCGCCGCCGGCCGCCGGGGAGTTCGGCGGGAGCCGCGGCCACCGGGTCGCCCGCTCCGGCGGTGCCAGCGCACGGCGCGGCGGAGGCCCGGGCGGCCGGCGGCGGCCGCGCATTGTTGTCGGGCTCGCCGAGCACAGCCATCTTGCATCAGGCGTCCGGCCCCGGCCCTGCGCCGCCACCTGCGGGGAAAGTTGAGCGCAGGCGGCCCGGGCGGCCCCGGAGCTCCGGCGGGCCGCGCGGCCCCGGGGGCGCCCCCGGCCGGCCGCGGCCTCTGTCCCGCTGCCGCCACCGCCGCTCGGGGCGCCCCCTCCCCCACTCCGTCCCTCCCCCGCCGCCGCCCGCAGGCCGGGCGTTCACCGGCCGCGCCCGGGCCGCCGCCCCTCCCCCACAGCCCCTGGGCGCCCGGACCCCGGGCTCCCGGCGCGGGATGACGTGGGCGCGGCGGGGAGGGGATTGGGGGGGGAGGACGGGCCCGGCGCGGGAGCCGGCCCCGGGGCGCGCGGGTGGACGGGCCGACAGGCGGGCGGCCGGCCGTCGCGGCGGGAGCCGGCGGCCCTTCGGCACGTCTTTTGTGTTTGTACACACTCGGCGCGAGGAGGCCGGGGGGAGGGAGCGGGCGGCGCGCGGGGGAGGGGCGAGCGCGCGCCAGCGAACGGGCGCGCGGGGGGAGGGGAGGGGGCGGGGCGTGAGCGGGGGCTGGGGGCGGGGCCGAGCCTTCCCTCCATTGTGTGTGATTGGCTGGCGCGCGGCGCGGGGGCGGGGCGGCGTGTGTTGGGGGATAGCCTCGGTGTCAGCCATCTTTCAATTGTGTTCGCAGCCGCCGCCGCGCCGCCGTCGCTCGCCAACGCCAGCGCCGCCTCTAGCTCGCCGAGCTCCAGCCCAAGGAGAAGGGGGGTAAGTTTCCCCGGCCGCCCGCCTCCCCGGGACCGAGCCCCGCTCGCCGCCCGCCGCGGGGCCGGGCCCCGGCGCTGCGGGGACGGCCCCGCGGCCCCCGCGGGCTTGGCCCGCAAACTTTTTGGCCCCGAAATGGAGGTGAGGAGCGAGTTTCCCTCGGCCCGAGGCGGCGGCGGCGGCGGCGGCTCTCCCCCGTCTCTCGCCGCCTCAGCCCAACAGCAGCCACCGCCGCGGCGCCGAGCCGCTCTCCCTCCTCCCCGCGCCCCGGGCTCCCCTTTCTTCGGCGAAATCCCGCCCGCCGCCCCTTCCCGGGACCCCAGACCCTCACCACGACCCGCGCGGGCCCCTTAACTGCCGCCCCCAGGCCCCGGGCCGCGGTTTTCGGGCGGGAAAGGGCTGGAAATCGCCGCCGCTTCCCACCCCGGGGTAACTCGCTTTTTGCTGCCTCCCCACAGTTGTTGCTAAGCTTCACCATCTTGTCTCTCTTCTCTGGTCACCGACCATATTTTCTCCCCCGTTTCTCTCTTCCCCGTTTCACAAACGGGGGAACGTTTTTCGCAGAGGGACATTTTTCTCTCCTTTTTTGGAGAAGCGGAAACTTGATGCATTTGAAATGCAAAAAAACTTTTGCATTTTGGAGGGCGGCACGTGGCAGGGGATCGGGGCATTTTGGAGCGTTTTGGTGTGTGGTGCGTCCGGGAGGCAGCGGATCGGCGGCGCGATTGTTTCCATTTTGCTGGGGTCTGGGAGCCGCGCGGGGGGCGGCGGGCGGGCTGCGGGCCGGGCCCGAAAGTTTCCGCGGGCCGGGCGGCCGGGCTGCGGGCGCTCGGGTGATGTCGCCGAGGAGCCCCCGCGGGCCGGACGCGGGGACGGGGCTTTGTGGACGGCCCTCCGCGGGAGCTTTCGGCCCCGCCGGCCCTCGAGAGCTGTAGAGACGCGGACCCAGGGCTGCTGCCCGATATTTACGGAGATCTGTGCGCTGCCAGGCGCACTGGGGGGCAGCCGCGGGGGGGCGGGGGGGGCGAAAATCTTTTTTTTTGTTGTTTTGTTTTTTAATGCCGATATTTGACTCGACCCTTCTGTGGTTTGTGGCTTCGTTGTTTTGACTTGTTCGTGGATCGGGTGTTTACAGACATACCTAGTTTCTGCTTTAATTAAAGAAATTGAAGCAGAGGCTGTTAGGGGTCTTTTTGTTTTGCCGTTTGTCGCTCAGATTTGGCATTTTGAGAGATGATTGGCGTTAATGCTAGCAATCTTGTAGTTCTACAGTTTGTTTCAAGAAGTCCTATTGGGGTGGTAGACGTAATCTGCACCCTTTAGAATTATATTACATTACGGACTTTTTTTTTTGTACTGGTCATAATTTCCAGGTTTTCGGGGGTGAGGGTGATGGTAGTGGCAGGAAAACTTGGATGTTTGGTAGTTGCATATATGATGTTTGTTTTTTAATGCTGGTAGGTAAGTAAGGGAGTTTCTGTACCATGGCTCGTACAAAGCAGACTGCCCGCAAATCGACCGGTGGTAAAGCACCGAGGAAGCAACTGGCTACAAAAGCCGCTCGCAAGAGTGCGCCCTCTACTGGAGGGGTGAAGAAACCTCATCGTTACAGGTATTTAAAAAAAAAAAAAGAGGAAATAGTGGGACAAAGTCTGTCCAAGGAAGCAGTATTTATGTAATATAACGCTAAGATGTGTGATAAGCACACTTTTTCCTTTAGGGAAGCTGGTGTCTTTCCCCTTTTGAATATTTACTAATCCTTGAAAAAATATATATATAAAATTTAGTGTTGGGTTTTATTGGAATATTTTATTTTGAAACTGCCCAGAGGCCAGAGGAGACAAATTGAATCACTAATAACGTTCATGGGATAGAGTGGCGTTTTATTCAGTTTGTTACATTAGTAATATGTGTTTTTTAAATAGTAAAGTGTTTTTAAAATACATTTCTGAGGACACTGTCACTTTGGGTAAAATGACAAATTTTAACATTAATTTTATTTTACCAGTAACCAAAATGGGGGATGTCTTGTTTGAGTAAAGTTCTCATCCCTCATTTATTTGAATTGGTTTATTTCCTCCTCTTAGCACAGTGGGTTTTGAACTACCCTGAGCAGTGTTGTTAAGGGCATCTGCCATTAGAGGGCAGAAGTTGTCCATACTTAGCCTCTGCAAATGATTTTATAGTTACTCTAAAATAAAAGCTCATTCGATGGAAGAAAATAAGTCAGACTTGAGGTACATTTTTTCCCACAGTTACTTAGTAAAAAACAAAAAAGTGGAAGATGCACTGCACAGTCATAAGTGTTCAAATTCAGTCATCCCTGAGGGAGGAGCAGTAGTCAAAGTAAAGATAACTCTGGGGAATCAAACTTAAATAGACCACAAGAGTAGTTCAAATGCGGCTCATTGGGTGGTGTTGGTAGGGCTTTTAGAAGAATTGAGGGTGCGGGTGGGAAGGAGTATGGTGCCAAGTGGAGAAGTCTGAATGGGGACTTTTATTAGTGGCCTAACACCCTCCCAAGTAATAACAGAAGTTACTGCCACATCTGTGTTATAGATGAAGGAGATGAACGGGACTTGAATAAACTCCCTGCCAGGATTCTACTTTAATACCATACTTTTTGCTTTAAAGGTATTGTCGTTACTCTTGATAGACTTGAATATTCACATCATAAATTCATAAGTGAAATTTTATACAGATGCTAAAGGTTAGAAGATGAGCGGTTTATTTTTTGGAAAATGACTGCATGTTTTTTATATGGTGACCCTTTCCTTAATGTGGGTTTTTTATTGTTTTGTTTTTTTTTAAGGCCTGGTACTGTGGCACTCCGTGAAATTAGACGTTATCAGAAGTCCACCGAACTTCTGATCCGCAAACTTCCTTTCCAGCGTCTGGTGCGAGAAATTGCTCAGGACTTCAAAACAGATCTGCGCTTCCAGAGCGCGGCTATTGGTGCTTTGCAGGTAAAATGGCTGGTGGGAAAGGCTCTGTAAGAGGTGGCCACCCTGCTACTACCGAGAACAATTCTAAATCTTTACTTGTGCTTACATAATTGAATTGTCTGAAGCCTGTAAGGTGGATGATACCTTTGCATCACCGTTGAGATGGCAGAAAGGTTAAGTTGCTCAAGGTCATAGACACAGAAATGTCATTTGAACCCACTTGGGTCACGGAGTCCTAATTTGAACCCATTTGATGCCAAAACCTAGTGTGTATTTCTGTATACCATTTTTAAATTTTAAACGTTGCTTTGAGAACAATGCTCAAGGGGGAAAAGAACCCTCTTGTTCGTCTCTGGGTGCAGAGACATGTAATGCCCCTAATGTGACATTATAGAGACATGGGACTAAAGGTCTGTGTTGGTGATCAGCTTTAAGCAGTGACTGGCCGCTCTAAAAGGGTGTAGAATGAATGTCTTACTCACTCTGAAGAGGCAGGTGCAAGCAGAGAGCGCATAATGTCTGGGTTGGGAATAGGCTGTACTGAAGAACTGTAAATTGTGGTAAAAGAAGCACAGGGTGGTTAGGATTGGATGGGCGAGAGGAAGACAAGGTGTGCTTAAGGATTATACTGTACGTGTTAAGGGACGGGGATTTCAGGACTTGTAGTTAGCTAAAGAGGATTATGGATTTCCACTTAAATGGGAAACTGTTGAGTTTAATCTTAGCACCAGGGCATCAGAACTCTGAGAAATAGTTTGAGGTGGTTGTGTATCTGAAATACTGTGTTTTGCACCAAGATTAAAACTTGAAATGCCCACAAAGAAGATACTTCATTAGGTGTAAGGGTATAATTAAATCAGTCGGGAAAGTGTAACCTATTTTATAGTGTTTGGCATTCTTCAGATGAGTGAATCTCAAAACGTGGTTAAGACGCTCCGTCAGAGCGTGCGGTTGGGAGTGATTCAAAATGCAGATTGCTAGGCACCGCCGACCTGGATCACAATCTCTGGTGGGGAGGGTCCACCATCTGCATATACTCCATGGGGGGATTTTCCAGGCTGCTGTTGCCGAGCCGAGCCTTTGCTTTATATGTGAGGGAGATTTGATAGGTGGATTCTCTACTGAAGTGTAATTGGTTGAACTGTTTCTATGGTTAGTCTGAGCTTCATTTGATTGGTGGATTCCAGGAGTGGGCTTCCATTAGATTCTCAGTGAATGGAAATTGCTGAAATTTCAAACTACTAAAATCTTCCAGTGCTGTGCCTTAAAACTATTTTCTCTTTTTTTTAAAGTTTTTTCTTAAGATTTTATTTATTTATTTATTTATTTTATTTGAGACAGAATGAGAGAGAGAGCACATGAGAGGGGGGAGGGTCAGAGGGAGAAGCAGACTCCCCGCTGAGCAGGGAGCCCGATGCGGGACCCGATCCAGGGACTCCTGGATCATGACCTGAGCCGAAGGCAGTCGCTCAACCAACTGAGCCACCCAGGCGCCTACTATTTTCTCTCTTAATCATTGATTGTCTTGAGGTCTCATGGATTACTACAATTGCAAATCACATTTTACCCACTGTATTGTTAACTACAGAGACATCACTGAGCTTGACGGGCATTTGATTCAGAGCTGCTAGTTCTGTTTTCTAGTTAGCCCAACTCTGCTTCAAGAACACATTAGTCTTGGGAGTCCCACATGTTTGAGCTCACCTGTCAGTGGTAGGGCCTTGTAAATTGAAATGACTAAACAATCTGGGTAGAAGACTACTATCTCTTTACATCATGTCTAAACTCCCATTGTCCCTGTGACTCAGGGGTGTGTCTTACATTATTAAGTGTGGTTGTGTTGGTTTTAAGCAAAATGTTTGCCTCTGTGGCCTGTGGTACTTTAGCAGTTAGTTCTTTACTGGAAAGTGGAATCTTTGATTCAGTTTTTTGTGTGTTTTTGTATACGTACTCTTCAGGTCTCTTAAAGACCTGGAGATGGAGAATTTGCTAATGGAAATAAAGTAATAGAAGAGAGCGGTTAAAACAAAATGCCAGAGGTTGCTGTGTTTCTGGCTTTGGAATCACACAGTTGACAAGTTTCCTGACAGCGCTAAATGAGAAGGGCGGTGGTGCAGGAGCAGGGTAGGGAGATAGTCTGGCTCTGCCTGGAGATACTCGGGAGTTGACGAACTTCAGATTTAATCTTTGCCTTTAACGTCTGAGAGTTTGGACTAAGGTATCCCTGTGTTAAAAATACAGACCTTGGTGTTTTGAAATGGTGGAAGGACCAGACCTTGAATATACTCAAGATGCTGTAAATGAGTCTTTCCTTCCAGTTGTGAGATGTTTTTTCTTTGGCCATCATCTCAAAATGATGTTTGTTGGGTGTACATTTACGTGGCAGTCTTTAATTCCCATTACAGCCTTAATGTTTAGGAGACCTTAGGGCCTGTGGGACAGAATTGGAAATAAGGTCATGGTCCAATCCCCTGGGAGTATCCAAGAGCCGACCAGACATGAACCTGTAAAACCAGTGTTAACCGGTTTCTAAGACAGCAGTAAGAGCCCCACATGCCCCTTCGGACCAGGACTAGGGTGCCTAGATCCTACCACTTTTTTTTTTTAAGATTCTATTTATTCAAGACAAAGAGATACAGAGAGAGAGCACGAGCAGAGGGAGAAGCAGGCTCCTCACTGAGCTATGAGCCAAACGTGGGGCTCGATCCCAGAACCCTGGGATCATGACCTGAGCCGAAGGCAGATGCTTAACCGTCTGAGCCAGCCAGGCACCCCAAGATCCTACCACTCTTAAGTGGTCTCAGAGTCACAGGGCCTGGGGTGCCTGGGTGGCTCAGTTGGTTAAGTGTCTGCCTTCGGCTCAGGTCATTGATCCCAGGTTCCTGGGATTGGGCCCCACATCGGGCTCCCTGCTCGGCGGGAAGCCTGCTTCTCCCTCTCCCACTCCCCCTGCTTGTGTTCCCTCTCTCTCTGTGTCAAATAAATAAATAAAATCTTTAAAAAAAAAAAAATCACAGGGCCTGTTGTTGGCTTGTCCATATAGTGGCTCATAGTGCTTGGTTTGGCAAAAGCATTCCAGATGTGCATCATCGTGAGATGATGTTGGGTGGAACAAAATTAAACTGGTCTCTTTCCTGAGGAGCGTCAGTTGTAGTATCTGATGTGCATTATGAACCCCTTAGAGCAGGCTACGGTATGCCATGTTTTCCAAACTTTTTACCCATTTCTTAGAATATCCTAAGAATGAATCCCTGGATAAGGTCTTTGGCTTTTAATACATTTCTTTGGAATGTTTGCATGGAAATGATGCAAAGGTAAATAGGATTAGATTTTTAAAAATAAATACTTGTTGGTCATCATGAGACTATTAAGTAACTTACATTAAAAGGTGGCTGGTGTACAGGGCCCGTGAGTACCAAGGAATTAGGAGGAGTTCACGGCTACCTGCACTTAGGAGCCAGGGCTAAAAGAAACGCTCGCTGTCCTGCACGGAAGTCTTGAGCTAGGCTTTAATGGGTAAATAAGATTTGAACTCTTAACAAATGCAGGAGAAAAACATGTAGGGGGTGGTAAAATTTGGATGACACAAATTTTTATAGAAGAGAGGCATGCAGCAAAAAAGATGAAGGTATAAATGTGCAGAAAGTAATTTTTCCATACGATGAACTAATGTAAATCATTTGAATTAATTGTTGCTCTGTTAATGCTTTGAAAAGCAAATCTGGCTGTTCCCATCTACATATAAATCTCAGGAGTTTTATTGCAAAATCATATGTTTGTGAAAAGCAGATCTGCCTGTTCCCATCTACATATCTTTTTCTTTTTTTTTCTTTAAATTTTTTTTGTTACTAACCATACGTTACATCATTAGTTTGTGATGCCCATCTACATATCTTGTGTATCATGTAGCATATATGGCTTTAATTGCTCGAGTATTTAGTGTGTTATCATTGCCTAAAGATGCCAAAATGGAAAGTTGTTATTAGGGCAAAAATAGCAACTATAAAAATCTTTTTTCTGAGTATCTTGAACAGAGAAGTAACTTCCCTATAGAGGAGGAGACAGGGCCAAATAACCTCTCACTTGATGCTCCGCCTCCAGTAGAACAGCTCGGCTGATGCCTGGGCTGGTAACACAGATTCTTCGTTCCAGAATGAGTGAGCAGATGTTCCAGCTTCAACTAAAGGATGCTTCAGCTTTGCACAGCTGTAAGATAGACGAACGATTGAGTTAAGAGTTAATTCTAAGTAGAAGCTCCTCTTTTTCCTTTCCCCGTGCCAGATGTCCGGGAACAGCCCCTATGGCTGGCGCTTGGTGAGCGCTGGTGGGGATAGGAGGATGCCTTCAAGGAATCTTGAAGTGGAATGGGAAAAACCAGAGGGATTGATATTAATACTAGAGGGTAAAAGGTCATTACAGATTGGGGTGCACAGGGGAAGGTACACCTGGGAGGGAGGGGGCACATCTAGGCCAAATAGGTCAAAGTCTGTCAGTAAGACCCTGATCTAGTATGTTCTGGGACCCATAGTCCTCTCGTGTGATCAGACTGAGGTTTCAAAGGAAAGGTAGACGGGGACTGTGTGATGGGAGCCAGTGGTCAGCTATTTTGGATTATTGGCAAGGCAGGGGTTCAAGCAGATACTGGAGTGTGACTGGGGTTCAGACCGGGGAGGACCCTGGTGAGGAGGAGGGAGTATTAGTTTGGATTGGATATATGATTCCATTTATCATTGAAAGGATAAGGGAGGATCTTCAAGCTTAAATGGGATTTCTTGAATTAAGTTAGATCTACTTTTAAGACATTTCAGTTTATAAGAAATCACATGTTAAACTTTAGGAAAGTCAGAACTTTCTTAGTGATGAAGTAATTTGACTTTGGTGTAATTGGATAAAGATTTCCAAACCTGAGCTTTTCTCTGTTCATCACCATCTGCGGGACAAAGCTGAAAGGCCGTTTCCGTGGAAGCATTCAGCTAAACAGTCAACATCACCTGAAGTAGGTTTTCAAAGGGTTCAGAAACCCACGTCATTTTCACCAATGCAGGTACATCTTAAATGTTGGTTCTAACACCATTAATAGCTTTTTCTCGTTCCTTCGCAGGAGGCAAGCGAGGCCTATCTGGTGGGCCTCTTTGAAGACACCAACCTGTGTGCTATCCATGCCAAACGTGTCACAATTATGCCAAAAGACATCCAGCTAGCGCGCCGCATACGTGGAGAACGTGCTTAAGAATCCACTATGATGGAAAACATTTCATTCTTTAAAAAAAAAAAAAAATTTCTCTTCTTCCTGTTATTGGTAGTTCTGAACGTTAGATATTTTTTTTCCATGGGGTCAAAAGGTACCTAAGTATATGATTGCAAGTGGAAAAATAGGGGACAGAAATCAGGTATTGGCAGGTTTTCCATTGTCATTTGTGTGTGAATTTTTAATATAAATGCGGGGACATAAAGCATTAATGCAAGTCAAAATGTTTCAGTGAACACGTTTCAGCAGTTCAACTTTATAACAATTATAAATAAACCTGTTAAATTTTTCTGGACAATGCCAGCATTTGGATTTTTTTAAAACAAGTAAATTTCTTATTGACGGCAACTAAATGGTGTTTGTAGCATTTTTATCATACAGTAGATCCATCCATTCGCTGTACTTTTCTAACTGAGTTGTCCTACATGCAAGTACATGTTTTTAATGTTGTCTGTCTTCTGTGCTGTTCCTGTAAGTTTGCTATTAAAATACATTAAACTATACCTGCTTTTGGTCTTTATTATCCACCTTAGCCGTAGAGTTAAGCCACTTGATGATAGCCGTATTAAAAATCATTTTAGTATCATCAAGTGTTTTCTCACCTTACATCTGCGACAAGGCCGTTGCGAGATGGGGAAAGGAGAAATTTTGAATGGGAAGGAAACCAGAGCTCTACTGGCTTTCGTCCTGATTTAAAATGGGCAGAGACTGGGGGTGCCCGGCCAGCTCCGTCGTAAGAGCATGCGACTCTTGATCTCAGGGTCATGAGTTTGAGCCTCACTTCGGATGCAGAGATGACTTAAATAAGAACTTTTTAAAACAAAATAAAATTTAAAAAAATAAAAAATAAAAAGTTTGCAGAGAGTAAATCTGTGAAAATCAGATCTCAACTCTTCGGATATGTTGTATTCTAAACCAATCGTTCCTGATCCTAGCCGGCCAACAGAATCGTGTGGAAATAGGTAAATCTTCGTAAGTAGTGAAGGTACATTTATAAACATTACTACGCTATTAAACTTTGTTCAGTGGTAATTTAAAATGCAAATGTCACAGTAAGTCTTAAGCTTAAAAATTCTGTGCGTTGGAGATTGGGCTCTTTAAAGATGCTGTGTGAACCCTGAAGTTATTGATCAAGAACCAACAGTTAACTCTTAGCACCGTTTTGTTTAGCATTTGAATGATAAGTGTGAAATAAGGGTAATAAGCCTTTTAAAGCTTGTAACCCATCCCTAATGGACTGACGGTAGTTGTCACATTCGAGCTTGTGAAGCTGCTCTAGAAGTAAAATTAGTTGATGGGCCGAGAACTCCCAGTCAATAAGGTAGAACATTGGGCTTCTGTTCCTGCTTGTGAGCTCTTTTTTAACTGTAACTTCATTTTTTTATATTCTCCATCAAAAATCACTTAATGAGAGAATTACAAAATTCGTTTTAGATCCTGTTTCTGATTTCTTGACGTGGGATCTTAGTTTTTAGTGCAATCCCTTGTGTAAACTTCAGGCAGGCGCTGGTATTACCTGGGAGAATTGGCCAGGGTATTCATTGTAATACAAGCTACAGAAAGCCAGGTTTTTAAGTAAGCTCGAACCCACGAGCCCGAGATCAAGTCACATGCCCCACTGAGCCAGCCAGGCTGCCCCCCAAAAGCCAGTTTTTCATGAATTTCCCCGGTTCGGGCTTTGCAGTGCCAAGGGACGGATGGTAGGGCCTGTTCATGAAAACTAGGGAAAGTGGGTGTCTCCAATAGGGTGGAAGTTAGCTGTTGGTATCTGTTTACAAATAGGGAATGCCATCCTTTGAATTAAACTCCCTTAGAATCTGTACTAAATTTTGCTCTAAAACTTCGTGAACTAAAAAAGCATGTTTCTATTTCTGTGTTTCCCCATGAAATAGGTATGTTAACAATTCACTTTAAACAACTGTGGAGTATGTAACTGCTCACTGTTGAGGTACTGACACACAATACGTTGTATATGACAAAGTGGAACATTCAGGGAAAAAGATGCAGACAAAACAGATGGAAGTTGGCACTCCATACACAGATGTCTGGCCATTGTAATGCGCTTGTCTCAATATTCTGTGCTCTGTCGATATTTGATGTGTATTCTATTCCTATGAAGTAGGTGATTGGTTCCTACTCACAAATTAGGCAGTGAAACCTGGGGGGATTTTTTTTTAAAGATTTTATTTATTTGACAGAGAGCACAGGTAAGGCAGAGAGGCAGGCAGAGGGAGAGGGAGAAGCAGGCTCTCCGCCAAGCAAGGAGCCCGATGCGGGGCTTGATCCCAGGACCCTGGGATCATGACCTGAGCTGAAGGCAGAGGCTCAACTGACTGAGCCACCCAGGCGCCCCATCTTGGGGGCTTTTTTTTTTTTTTTAAGATTTATTTATTTGACACACAGAGAGAGAGAGAGAGCACACAAGCAGGGGGAGCGGCAGGCAGAGGGGAGAAGCAGGCTTCCTGCATGAGCAGGGAGCCCGATGTGGGGCTCAATCCCAGGACTCTGGAATCACGACCTGAGCTGAAGGCAGCGGTTTAATCAACTGAGCCACCCAGGTGCCCCTTGGGGGCTTCTTAATGGACAGTTATATACTATGTGCATAGTAGTTTTTGTTTTATTTCAAGTTTTGATTAAAATATATGCCTAGTAGCTTTGAGTTCAGGGCTATTCTAGGACTCTTGGATGTAAGTGATCTGCCACCCTCTTGACCCCTGGGTCAGTTTTTGAAAAACTGTCACTGATGACAGGCTGATAATCCTGTTCCCCAGTATGCTTTGGAATTATTACTTGACAAGCCTACCCAGGAAGAGTCTGGTGAATTGGATTTGGGCCCAAAGTGACAAGTGGGGGCTGTGGCTTACCTCACCACTCTTGGTTAAGTGCAGTCTTCCAACATCTTCAACAGGGTAACCCACTTTTGAATACTGAAGTAACAGGAAAACAGCCAGTTAACACCTCTTAAGCTTCCAGAAAATGTTCCTAAAGTTGTTAGAAGAAAAACCCTACAAGATTATATGGTAAGATAAAAATAATTTTAGGTAAGTAGGTCTTGGGAATTGGGAATACTTTAGCTAGAAGAACTTTTCAGAAGGAATTTGGAGACTATTCTCAAGCAAATGGAGGGACTCTCGCCTGGCTTATACTGTTAGGTGAGTGAACGCTTGGAAATGCCCAAGCTCTTTTCCCTTCCAATCTTGACAGCCTAAAATCAGAGGAAATAAATTCAAATGTGCAAATTTGAAATTAAGGATCTGCTAGATGCTGAGGCATAAAGACGCTCGAAGCCCAACTTCCTGACCCTCTGAGGTGGGTGCCCTCAGAGACTGATTCTACCCATGAAGAAACTTGGCCACGGCCACCCAGTTCACGGAGGAGATAGACTTCGTTTTCCAGTGGACTAAATCCGGGTCCTTGCTCTAATTCCCATGCTCAGAGAGTGATACAAGAGTCACTGATTTTGCTGGGAGTACCAGAAGTGAAGGCAAGTCTTGACCGTGGAAACAGAAAAAAGACAACACTGGGAATGAGGAGGGGCAGACTAGAAATCACAAGAAAACCCTCTGCCTGTCTCACCACCTGTTCAGTCTTGAGCAACCCCCTTTAATTTCTCCCTCTCCCCCACCTCCATTAAATCCTGTTGACTCTTAACTCTAAGGAAGTGCATCCAAAACTTTGCGCTGAATATCTCTAGCGTCCTCGTCCGGGCTGCCACCTTCCCCCGGGACACCCCACATCAGTCTATAGCCACCCCGTTCTCCCTCCCTTGGGCCCCTTCCCACAGCCTCGGGAGAAATGCTTCTAAAGCAAGTCCTTTCAGGTCATACCCCCAACCACACACTGAATCACATCTAAACTCCTCGGCTCGCAAGGCCCTGTGTGACGGCCTCACCAGGCTTTCCTCCGGAGGTCCACCTCTTACTAAGCTGCAGCCAAACCCTCTGCCCACGTGCCTTTTGTCACATCCTTGGCTTTATTTCCTTCGAATCTATCCAAATCTGAAATGACATTGTTGGCTTTTTTATTGACGACCTCCACTAGAATGTGCTAGAACAGGGGTTCGCCATGTTTTCCACCGCAGCCCCAGTGGTGGTGCATAGTAAACCCGAATAACAATCCGTTGGGAGTCATGCAAGAATGAATGAGTGTTCCTGCTTTCCTTCCGACTTTAACACTGAAGCCTCTATAACCTTAATAGATGGGACCCGATTTGTCATTTTGAGGATTAAGTGAAAATACATGTGAAAACCCAAGACCTGACACATAATAGTCAGTAAATGTTGGAGTAGAATGGTAAGTTCTGATAAAGTAAACCTGCATCCACACCGTTCCTTGCAAAGTTGTAAAGAAAAATCTGGCCCCCAACTTCCAACAGTTGGTTCGCAAGCCTCCCGGGAGCCTCCGACTGTAATCCAAAAACCAACCCCCCTACTCAGAGGACAGGGAAAGACGAAAGAAAGGCAGGCCTACCAGGTTGGCAGGCGGCAGGTTGAACAAGCACAGGGAACGGACCTACCAAGCTTGTCTTGGGGCCTGCAAGATGGTGGATCCCCACACCTACCCACCACATCCTCACCGTTCATGGGCCTCACTGGGGTTTGGTCACGCCTCCCCCCCGATGGTGCCAGCACCACATCACTGTCTCAAGGCCGTCCTTGGGGCGGGGGGAGCTTCTGGGAGCAGGGAAGACAAGCAGAACCCACCTTCCAAGGACAGGAGAGGGGTCGAGAAGCCTGTCCAGTTCATGGGCCAACTAGCAGTCACATCCTCGGGACCTTCCCCAGGACTGATCTTTCCAGGCAGGCAATTTTTATTAGGTCCCCACTGGATAATGCTCTTCTTATGCCATTAAGCCTTGGTCCCTAAATGAAACAGGATCAGGTGGGTATACCTTTACCATTGATAAAGGGAGTCAAATCAATAGCGTTAGTGGTGAAACCCTAGGTAAGAGGCATTCTCTTAAAGTTGTTGTGAAGACTTCTTCACCACTGTTTTTAAATGTATTTTGGAAAGTTCTAGGCAACGAGAAAATATATTTTTTAAAAAAGGAAATAATTAGGGCACCTGGGTGGCTCAGTTGGTTAAGCGACTGCCTTTGGTTCCTGTCATGTTCCTGGAGTCCTGGGATCGAGTCCCACATCGGGCTCCCTGCTCAGTGCGGAGTCTGCTCTCTCCCTCTGCTCCTTCACCATGCTGTGCTCTCTCTCTCCCTCTCAAATAAATAAATAAGATCTTAAAAGAAAAAAATGGAAGTAATTATTTGCAGCATAGCTTCATGCTTAAGAGTTAGGCTCTGGAGGGGAGCCTGGCTGGCTCAGTCGGAAACTGCGACTCTTGGCCTCAGGGTTGTGCCTTTCATTTAAAATATTTTCTGGGACTCCTGGGTGGCTCAGTCAATCGAGTGTCTGCCTTTGGCTCGAGTCATGATCCCAGGATCCTGGGGAGCAAGCCTGGTGTGTGCAGACCCAGCAGGGAGTGGGCATGGCTGCCGAGACCCGCAGAG